AAAGCAGCAGTGTGGAAACTTTATTGGTTAATTATACTTTTTTTATTTTGAAACAGCAATTTAGTGCATGTTTGTGTGACCATACTGTTCATATGTATATATTATATTGTGAATGGTGTTACATTTAAAACACAACTATTACCTGCAATTTCTACTGGAATTGATACACTACACAAGCATGCATTATCCACGTAAACATATATTCCCATATTAATGAATATTCCTTTGACATATCCCTACTTCTCTGTATGTGAAAGCCTAACAGGCTATATAACAAAAGTGTGACATACACATGAGAGTGGTTTGACTTGCCAAGACCCTGAGGAAAATTCCCAATGTCCCCACTTTAATTATAATATTACCCAAACAGGTGCAAGCGGAATGAAAGCAATTGTAAGGAGCCTTGTTCGTGCACAGGGAAGCTACAGCATTCATGCAGAGAGCTCATCCTGTGTGTTCAAACCTAGAATAAAAACAGTTTGGGTTTGTTTGTTGGTACAATTGCACTTGTTATGTTGTTTCTTCTTGCCAAGAAGAAATAGTTGTTCCTATCAGACAGAGAAACTGGCTCAGGTATTTATTTTCTAGGTGTTGGTGGGCTTTATCCACTTAAATTTAGAATTGTAAACATTTAGTGTGGCTAGTGGTTGTGAACGGAGTCTTTCAATAAGCCTTAAACAGTCCGTCTTACTCTCTGCTCATCATGAAATTGTACTCCATCTGCACTGAAGAAATCTCGATCCATTGTTTTCGAATTTCATTGGATTTAGACACAGACAGAACATGAAAGCATTGGTTACAGTTGTGGTTACTGTTTTTGGATGCATGTGTCTATTCTAGGCATTTGACTGGTTTGTTTTTAGAACAAGTAATTTAGGAAGAAAAAGATTTATGTCGGATTTCTTGTGAGGCAATGTTTATTTTCGTGCACAACTATGTTTAGAGGCTGTTGTAATACACTATACGCAGGAAACTGCATTTCAAGAATTCTTTTTGAAAGTGGGTTAATCTAAATCAATTAGAGGGCTGAAAAATCTCTCTGGGGGAGGGCGATCAAAATGTTTCTGAATTGATAGCAGTATTAGCCCATACTGTAAACAAAACAAATATAGCTGACACAGACTTATACAAATAATGTTGGGATATAAATAGGACATTTGAAACATCTATTTGGGTTTGGCACTCTCAGCAAACCATTCTTTAGTTTACAGTGTCACATTGTGGATTTATATCCATAGTTCCTCAGACTTTTTGATGATACTTTTTGTTCTTTTTCTGTATTCTCCCTCCTTTTCCCATCTAAACACCTGCTTTGGTTGTGTTCAATGCTGTTCAGTTGTGCCGTGCCTTCACCAAACCTTTATTTCAAAGTAATGTCTTCAAATTCATGTTGCCTGCAGCATCCTGCATTTGGGTGCACCTGCTCCACTCTTCATGACATACATCATACAATATTTATATGTTCTGCTGTTCAGCCAGTCTGGTATCAAGGCTACCATTTAGAGGTGTGGATGTTCCTCTAATAAGAAAAGGTCCTCCGATTAATTAATTAATTCATTGGATGTTTTTAGACTGAAAAAGACCAAAGCAGAGAGAGTCAAGACCTTGAAAAGATCATGCATGACAAACTTACAATCAATAGGGAACATGCAAACCAAAGGAACTCTTCAAATTGACCTGATCAAATAACCAACATTCTCCAAAAAGCACCCAAAACAAATATTCATTATTGCTATTAATACATATGTATATAGGTATGAGTGTACCTTGCAACATTTCAAGTAAAAAATGTTTACTTAAATGTAAGTAAAATAATCAAAAGGCATTGCAAAGGGGTTGGTGCAGGTGTTATGTTTCATTTTCAACAAGCAAACAAATACTAACAAGCCCTAAGAAGCAAAAATATACTTAACCATTTTTCCTCAACACTCCTTTTCTATTTTTTACCACCCACTTAAAACAATGCTATTTTCTGTATTGTGGTGTGTGTTGGGGGGGGGGGCGGGAGTGCTGACAGCCGATAACAGTAACCACATTTTAAAATGATAAATTAGTCAAGTAATTGGTTTGAAGCAAAGTTTTTCATCCAATCACAGTAATGGTGTTAACATATAAATCAATGCAAAGGCAATTTAGGAATATCCCAGCAAAAAGAGGTTCTCCAGACCAAGCCGGATCTTAAATACTACAACCCTGCAAAGAGGGTTCTTTTTGTAAAGTGTGTTGCACTAGTCCGTACACTTAACCTAAGCCCTAATTAAATCATGTCCAACCCTAACCCTGAACCTATTTTCAGTTGAACCTACACCCGTAGGTGCATCATTGTGCAAAACATCCCCATCTTTAATAATGTACAAAATATAAGTGTCTTAAAGATGGGGTAGGTAAGTTTGAGAAACCAGCTCGAGATACACTTTTTGTTATATTCCATGGAATGCTCTTAACAGCCTACCTGCCTGTCAGCCTTCCATCTGGGCACAAACTTATCTCATGCCCTCATTGGTCATGTGCACGTTCTTGTGTGTTGGAGGAGGGGCTCTGTAAGGAAGTGGCAGATTTTTTCCGGCTGTGTATTTTCAAATTCTAGCGAACTCGAGCTGGTTTCTCCAAAATTACCTACCCCACCTTTAATTTAAACTTCTTTCCACCCATTTATGGATTACTATTTAGGGAGTTGGAGTAAAGCCAAGGCTGCAGATAGTTACAAAGCTAAACGGTAAAGTACAAAAAAGTTTGACTAGAAAGGCTATTTATATTCCATGTGAACATAATCTATAAACATTCTGGCAGATACATTTAGACATGAAGCGGTTTAGTAGAAACACAGACACCTGACCAAATTCCCAATGAAAAGCCATTGTCAAGTGTAGCACAGTTAATTAAAGCAAGGGCACCACTCTACATCTGTCACATCACTTGGCAGAAACTTTAATTATATATTTTGGTCAATCTGTTCTTCCTGATGTAAGAGGGGATGCCATACATGAGACAGCATCTGCTGAGGTGTGTCACATGAGCTTCAACATCTGTCCATGTTTTTTACACTGCCTGTCAATCACTTGAGATCTGTCTCATACGCATTAATGTTATCATATTGAGAAACCACAAACACTGTCAAGAGCTGCGAGCGTACATCTGTGCCACAGTTACAATTAACAGTCTATTACTGAGCGGTGAATCTACACACAAACACAGAGATTGGCACTACACACAAATACCCAGACACACCCCGTGGCTTGCAGTCATTTTGGTCCCTTATGTTGTCCATCAAGGAGACAGTGGTGACTGTTCTATAAACTGACTCCACCCACAAAGGCTTGTGATCACCTAAGCTGTCAGCAAGCATCTGCTGAAATCACCAACCAGCCAACTGTGATAGTGGCTCTGAAGATATCTCCAAAAAAAAAGTGTCACCTACACATGTTCAGCACCCGGTGGCATATTTTCCACTTCTATTTTTGCTAATTTTTTTCCATGTGTCAAACTTTATCTGCAAAGCCCTAGGAGAATGTCAAACAGTTTTGTGTGCATGACACTGTGATTTGATATATGAAAGCATCTTGAAAGCCGATGTCAACTTGTCTTGGATGAAAATGAATTGTTTACATCACTGTCAAATATTTCTTTCCATAAAATGTGGCCCTGTAGCAACAAGAATATTGCACTGTTAGAGCTTGTCATTATTGTGTGATTCACAAATAATTCAGTTTTCACTCAGCGGTGGCGAGAACTATCAGTCACATTAGGATACTGATTGTGGATGCAGCATGTTTGTTTGAGAATGAATGCCTTTGAAGTAGGCAGTCTTTGGATTTGGGTGTTCTTTGAAGTTGTTTTAAACTACCTCCTTTTTACCTACTGGATTATTTTCTTAAGTAAATTGGAAGTTTAATACAGTAATTACGGGAAAAAGGGAGCTAAATGTCAATAGTGTATAGCTATCTGAAAAAACTGATGGAATAACAATATTTATTATTTAAAGATAATAGTATGACGGCAGTCTGCTTTAAGAAACACACACCAATACAAATCTACACGTGTCTAGTCCAAGACGCACATGCACGCACTTGCAGATGACACAGAAACCTAGAGACACAATAGCTTTGTATCCCTAGACTCCACCATTTTTTCTCTCATAATCCCCTCTGAGTCTATTAATATTTCTGTTTCCATGGCGATTCGGGTCTTGCCAAATGTTGTCCAGATAAGAGGAGATAAGAGCATAAGGAGCAGAGAGATAAGTGTAGCAAGTGACCCGCTGAGATCAGAGCACCAGAGGTCAGGCAGAAGAGCCGAAGCAAGCTACTGAGAAATGGACCATCCCTGCTCAACTGCACTGACAACCCCATGCAAACAAATATGGAGGGCCATCAAAGTTTTCTGTCGAAGTGCAACATTTGACCACAAACTTGAAGTTAATATGTGCAGCAACTTACTCTTTCCAGTGTATCAAATGTCACCCTCCAGAGATGTTACATTGGAGCAAAAACAGTAAAAACTATTATGGCAGCCTTTCACTGCACTTAATATAAGAGAACAAATTGATCATTATATCTATAACTGGATCATAATAACATTCTTCCCTAAAGAATACTATGGTCGTCCATACTTCCCTTTCTGCCAACTCAAAAGGGAAGTATTTAATTAATTTTTAACAAGTTGTATATTTTTTTAATGGGAGTATATATGTTCCTTAATCTGCCACGACACACAGTATGTACTGTTCTGCAGAGAACACATTTTTTTAATTAGGATGAAAGGACGGTAACACATTTCATGTATGAGATCATGTTATTGTCTTTTCAAGTAGATCTTGACATGTTACTGTATAGCATTTCATATAGTATAAGTTGTTCATTCTATCAGATGTATTACAATGTTTGCAACAAGATGATTAATGTTTGTGATTTCTTAAAGTTAATTATCTCTCGTCAAATCCTAACACAATAAGACACACTTTCTAACACTTACACAGCAGCTTTTGTGAGTCATGTTCTTACCTGTTTGTTGCTGTACTTCATCTGGCTGGTCTTGTAGCTGTAGTCTGAGTACTGGTCGGAGCCGGTAGAGTTGTCGTCTCCTCCGGTTCCTACAAAGGTGTTGGCGGCAGGAAGGTCCTGGACAGCCTGGTGCTTCTGTGAGGCTGAAGGGGATTGGGCCTGCAGCTGGATGGAGGGTAAGGGGGAGTTGGAGCGGTAGTGCCTGCCTATATCAGGGCTTCCTGGAGAATATGTTAAGGGCAGGTGTATCCTGGGGCTATCATTCACTCCATCGAGGTTGAACTTGAGACTCTTTTGAAGGCTGACTTCTTCATCTTCCCCGAGTGGTTTTGGGGACTTTTGGGGCTTTCCTTTCCTTCCTCGTTTGCCTTTGGCATTTTTTGGTGCTTGTTTGGGCGCATATAAGTCTTTTGTTTCCTTCTTGCCAGCCTGATACCCACTCTTAGTTTCTCTCTGGATGCGGTGTCGGATAAATACCACCACCAGGATCAACATGACAACACCTGCCACTCCGGCAAGGCTTCCAAACAAAATATTACTACGCTGTGCAGCGAAACCATAGTCAGGATCACCAGCAATGTCCCTTTCCAGTGGAGTGTAAAGACTGTGTCCTACTAGAGCCTCCACTAAGCTGACATTTGAGATGGTGTCATTGACATAAATGTGGACCAGGGCAGTGGCATGACGTGCAGGCTTCCCCCTGTCACTCACTCGCACTACTAGGCGATGTAGGCCGCCATGTTTTCGGGTCATTTCTTTTGCTAGAGTGATCTCCCCACTGGACGGTGAAATGCGGAATAACTGGTAAGGGTTTCCGCCAGAAATACTGAACACCAGCTCGGCATTGGGCCCACTATCCAGGTCTTCGGCTTCCACTATCTCAACGTGGCTATCTGGGGAAGCTAGAGGTGACAAACGCCTGAAGGAGGAATTGGAGGGTTTGGTAACCACAGGGTTGTTGTCATTTTCATCCAGTACATTGATCGTGACGGCCACATATGAAGACCGAGGGGGCTCTCCTCCATCCACTGCTTTAAGACGGAAAGTATAGCTGCTTTCTTTCTCCCTGTCAAACGAGATGCTTGAAAGAATGGTGCCTGTTCCATTTTGAACGACAAACTTTCCTCCATCAGGCTCTACAGACAGATCAATTAGGGCGTTCTCCCCTTTGTCCACATCCAGGACTGTCACCATGCCAACTGGACTGAGAGGAGGCATGTTCTCCAAAACAGAAAAGCTGTAGCCACTCAGCATGAACTTGGGGTCATTGTCGTTGCGGTCAAGGACGTTTATTACAACAGTTGCTGTCCCTTTATGAACAGGTGACCCTTTATCGGCTGCCGTGACCCGGAACTCGTAGCGTTCTTTATGCTCACGATCAAGGGGGCTTCGGGCTCTTACTGTGCCCGTATTTGGATCAATCTCAAACAGACCTTTGATGGATGAGTCTGCCACAATACTATAAAGGAGTTCAGCGTTAGTGCCACTGTCAGCATCTGAAGCTATAACATCCAAAACCTTCTCCCCTGGTTGGTTTTCTTCGGCAAAATCGACCTCAAACAATGTTGGGGAGAATATTGGAGAGTTGTCGTTCACATCAGTCACCTGCACCTTCAGAGAATTTTGGCTAGAGAGGGCCGGATTTCCAGAATCAACAGCGACAATCTCGACTCGGTAATCCCTAATCCTCTCGTAGTCCAGGGGAGTGGTTGTCTGTAGGAAATACTTCCTCTTACTGTCAATGGATGAGTCGCTGGCAGGGCGAAGCTGGAACGGCACATCTCCTGCGACTACACAAGTGACCATAGCGTTTTCTCCCTCATCCTTGTCAGACACTTGCACTAAAGCAACAGCGGTTCCAACTGGCATGTCCTCTGAAATGTTGGCCACTCCTTCGCTGTGTGTCACAAGACCAATTCCACGAATCTCCACAACTGGGGCGTTGTCATTTTGGTCAGTCACCTCAATTGTAACAAATGTCTTTGAGCTTTTAGGTTGTGGACCCTTATCCCTCGCCACCACATAGAAAGACAAGCTGCTGATTTCTTCCCTGTCAAGGGATCCTTTAACGTAGATAATGCCGGTGGACCGGTCAATTCGTAAGAGTGTCGACACTGGGTCTAGTGCTTGGTGAAGGGTGTACTCAATTTCTCCATTAGGGCCCATGTCAGAGTCATTTGCTTTGACCTGAAATGAAAGGAATTCTGTGGTTAAAGGCGTGATTAATGTGCAGCGCTGTGTGGTTGAATTAAAGGAAGTCCGTGTAGGATTTTCTCTACTAATCATTGGTCAATGAATGAATGAATAAATTAATCAACAGGTGCCTGATCACTTCAAAGCACAGCAAGTGAACAGCTTTATTTAGGCATGTTTTATTATTGCCCTTCCTCTGTGCTTTTGATGGGTCTTCCAACCCCCCCACCCTTCCCTTTATTACAGAAATAGGGAATAGAAAAGACCCCCCCACTTTCAAAACACTGACCAAAACACACCTCTTCAGATTGGCTTTTAATTTGTGAATTATGTTGTGTTGCTGTTTTAATATGTTTTATTCTATTTTATCTTGTTTTATCACCACTGTAAAGCGTCTTTGAGCACCTGAAAAAGCGCTTTGAAATTAAATGTATTACTATTATTAATGCTTAATGTAATAATCAACTAAACTCTAAAGTTGCTTTTCTGTTGATCATCAACTAATGGTTAATGTCATCTTTAGTTGACATCTTGACTCTCAACAGATAGTCGACATGACCCTGTTGACTTTCAACTGACAGATTGATTTTGAGTAGTTGATTGTCAATTTTGAAGATGTTGACACAATCTACAGATAGTAAGGTTGAATATCAGTTAATAACCTGTTGCAAAAAACATGTTGACAGTCAACAGAGACTTTTTGTAAAATCTATAGATCAACACTTGAGATGTACCTTACATTCTACTGGCAGTTAGTTGAATGCATGTTACTTGTCTGTTGAAACAGTGTTGTTGAATGTCAACTGATGACTTATAGAGTGTTAACTCTGGACTATCAAAATAAAGTGTTACCAAATATAAGGGCTGCTTTTTCTTTCATGACAGTTGGTACAAGTTCCCAGTGGTAAGCAGAACAAATCATACACTCTTTGAGTACAGTCATTGTGTATCTCTAATTATTTTCATGTAAGTATAATAGCACAAAAAACAATATGCAGCTTAATTACCTGTATATACATAATTGTATATTGTGTTATACAAATATCAAAATGCACATACGAGTAATGGGATTGAAACAACTTATAAATAACATATTTGTTAAATGTGAATATGATTATCTGTTGACAAGAACTAAGTTTGGACCTTTGATTCCCAAGAACATTTTGAACATTCAGAGTTGTAGGGCTACTTTTAAGTATTTTAAAGCACAATGGCAGAATACAATATCTCTCTTTGAATAGAATGTTCAATAGAGTTCTGTATCTGAGGAATAAGCACTGCAGAAACATGACGCACAGACTCATTTTTCAAAAACATCTTGATAAATTGTGTATTTCATTATGTATTATTGAGTGTTTCTTTCTTTGAGTCTGTGTTTCTTAGTTGCTGAATATAGTACATCAAGCAGCAAAAACAATTTTCTTTGCAATTTCAATTTCTTATTTGAAAGAAAATAAGTTCTTGAAGTCAAGTTTATATGCTGCCAAATCTTACCTGCAACACAGAGTGCCCCGGTGGACTGTTTTCGGACACTTCCGCCTCATACGTGGACCTTTCAAACTTGGGAGAGTTGTCGTTGGCATCAGTGACTACCACTCTCAGCAGAGCACTGCTGTAGCGCTGTGGATTTCCTCCATCCATTGCCTTGATGGTGAGGTCATAGGAATCCTTTAACTCGCGATCTAGGTTGCCCAGGACAATAAGCTGCGGGAGCTTCCCCCCCCTGTCGTCAGCCACCTGTAAGCCAAATAGGGTTGCTGCATCTGGCCCTGCAGTCAGAGCATAATCCGCCACCCCATTCCTGTCTGAGTCCCTGTCAGTAGCCAGAGGTATGGAGAATAGCGCCCCCATGATTGTGTTTTCAGGGACTGAGATGGTGAGGACAGAAGAGGGAAATTGTGGAGTGTTGTCATTTATGTCCTGTACCTCAATGCGTCCTTCAATCAGTCGTGGGCTCTGGTTTTGTATCAGGTCCGTCACCGATACTTCAAATTCAAGGTAGCAAGGCTTACCCTTAACCAGGGTTCGACAGTCCCTCAGGGTCTCTCTGTCTATGGGTATCTCGGTGGTGAAAATGTCCCCCGTCTTCCCATCAACACGTAGGTAGGGTGCCCCGACCTCCAGCTTGTAGAGATGGCCTGAGTCTGGTAGGCCCTGGTCTGCTGCCAGGCTACCAATCAGAGTGTTGGGGGGCTGCTCCTCCTGGACCCTGTACATGATGCCACCCTCAGCAGAACCACAGTGCAGCACCAGGACCCACAACAGCACTAGTCGTACATTTGGTTCCATTAGGTCATCAGAAGATCTGCCTGTAAAATGACAAAGAGTATTTCGGTCAAAATGTTGTCTCTTTTGGTTCGGATTAAGCTATTAAATACCTGGTGAAACATTTGCTGAACTTTTATATTTACATAAAGGCAAGGAACTCACATCAACAGGTTATTAAAACCAGACAGATACATGCGGTCGGTAAAGAAAAAATATATTTAGTGTATTTTCTTTATTATAACAGAAAAATCTGCAACAGATTTATAATAATTAGACAATAATAACAAGAAAGGGAAAAGAGGCATGATGACTATTTCCCGGCTTGGTTTCATTTCTGTCCCAGAGCTTCAATAACTTCAATGAATATCTCAGCCTTAAAAAAATTCCGTGTAAATTACAGTAGGAACAAGAAATTGTATCTTGTGAGCTTACACACACACAACAAACTCGAGGGCCGGTGTGGATTGCATTGTTTCAGCTGCGTAATCAAATAAAAGTGTACTACAAAATCAAATTGCCTAAGAGACTCATTATTTTGGTATTACACTCCTACTGTAGACATTGAGCGGGGAAGAAATGTTGCTTAAAAGGAACCGATGGTAAAAAAAAAAACCCTCACACATGAAACCTTACAAACTTGCCAATATAGTGTCCATTGATGAAGGCGATTGATCGTTTTCATTACAGGAGGCCTCTAACAACGAGGGCTTGCCTTCTAAGAGAGGTATAGAGAACAGGTATTTGTGTGTAGACTAAGCAACTACTATCACATGCAGGTTGAAACAATGCAGAATTCTCCATCTGCGCTCTATTGCTACTGGCTAACTCAAACATTGTATCATTATGTTTGATTTTGAACCTTTCAACGCCGTAATTACAACCCATTATTTTAGCGTCTTCTTTGATCTGTATTCCCTCCAGCTAAAGAATACGGGGTGTGTTCATGCTACGTCGATTTTAGAATACAATTATTTTTGTCTCCCTGTGTGTAGAGTTCTATTGTTAATTTAAAAGAGAGCAGACGTTTGGGTTCTCAGGAAAGCGTAGTAATGGCCACCAGTTTATAGTGTGTGTTTGGGCACGTTTGTGAGCGTCTACATCACCACGTAGATACAAATACATGTGTGTTGCAGTTCACATAGAATAATTTAAAGAGAATAAAAAGGAGTACAGGTTCTGGATCGAAAATCAGCCAGTTCCCTGAGGGACCCTTGGGGAAAGATAAGCGAAGATCAGTGCAGCCTTAGTTTGTGTGCTTGTGAGAAAGATAGAAATACACATGGTCAGATGGTGTTATTGTGAGCTCAAATACATTCTGCATCTCCTCACATGAAACAATGTTGCAGAGAGGAGCAAAGCAAATGTGTACTAAGCGAGACAGCAGAAAACAAATATACAGAAAACCAATGAGAAATCCAATTCCTTTTGAATACATTAAAATTGGAAGTGCAGGTTATTGATGCACTAATTGTCCAGTTATCGATGTGTCCCTTTTTACATTTGCAGGGGGAGCCTCGAGTCAATGTGCCGTGAACGGTGAGTGTGCATTCTGTGTGTTCAAGTGTAAACGGGAAAAAAAGGCAGGCAGGAGTAAAAACATAATCAGGGGATACATCCAAGTGCTACTAAAAAACTGAAAGTTAACATTGGACAATGATCACTTATTATATTTTCCCTGTCTCTTTTTGTATACTGATTTCAAGATTGCTAAATGTTTTACCCATAAAATGACCATTTCTATATGAAAACCTTAATAAAGGTTGTAACATTTGTTTTGCTGTAACTGTCCCCCTACCATTACAGCCACTTCTAGAATGAATAGGCGTGCTTTGATAGTGACATGATTGTTATGGTTGATGACACTCATGACTTAATGTCTTCCAGTTGGCCTCATGCCTGTCTTCCAGATGGCACCGTGCCTGGCAGCCACGGTGAATTGGTGTTCTTTTTTCTTTGTTTACATTGACATTAAAATGAATGTTATCTGTGAAATACGCATTTTGCCATCACCCAGTGAGCATCTCTTATCGGGTGAATATTACTGACACCGTGCACATGGGCTTCTATCTCACAAATATTTTATCAAAAGCTTGACAGCATGTTTTCCTTCATCTCAAAGCATGGCGGTGGCGAAGGGGAACATATGATGTGCTGAGATTTCTCAACATTGACTACTGCAAGTCTCGCAAGAGTCCCCTACCTGAGCAGCAAAATGGATGAATGAAAGCAGCTGAATACAACAAGGAATGTCATTTCCTGCATCTCAGCGTTTTATCCTCAAAAAAACCTGGTTATCATCTGCCATCCCAGATGGTGTGGTAGACCCACAAGACTACTAGCTGATTCAGGCAAATCACAAAACATAACTCAGCATAAAATGAGAAGAAGTTAGCTTTTCCAGTGTGTTCAATGTGTCTTTGATATATCAGTTCTGCTTAACCACTCCAAACACTCCTTTTGTAAGGACTTAACTGTACAACTATACTCCTTTTCGACCAAAATGTGTGCATAAACATTGAAAACCCACTTAAATTAGGCAGTAAACTCCTTTCCCATTGCCAGTAGATGAGTATGCCAATTGCAACATTCTCTTAGCTTTTCCTTAACAGCTGTAAGACTAAAAATGAACGTTTGGATTAGTTTCCTATGAGTTACAGTATATATGGTTGAAAGTGCGTTTTACGATAAACAGCGTGGTAAAAATACTGTTTCCAACAATGGATTCTGGTGGCTTTCAGGAAAGCATGCTTTCTGTAGTTTTTGTATGCAACTATATTATAATGATTGCCTTAAGTTCTATTATATATTAATTTAAAAGTGCATCATTGCATTGAGCGGGAAAAAGTGTGAAAATCCATCACTGTCGATTGTAGCTGGAGCCGATACATACCAGTGACTACTGGGATAGGATGTCGATTACAACCTTTCCCACTGAACAGATGTTAGTGGGTGTCAGAGAGTTTTTTTATCTAATGGGAAAGGGGCTTTAGAATACCAGTGTGGTGCAGATACTTGCACTGGATCAGGCATCCCAACACTGAAATCCTCAGGAATTGCTAAGTAAAATCCCCTTGTCTATTATAAACTTACTCTGCTGACAGAATCACTGCAGAAACCTCTCTGTTCGTAAATTGAATTATAAATAATAAACACAATATAATTATAACAAAAACTTCCAGCTAATGTACTTTGTGGTAGCTACACCACAGGACAATCTACTTGGCTAATTCTTGGATGACCCCCGCTGTACTACTAGTTGAATGAGTGCAGCACACTGTACTTCCTTTACGCAGAGCTATTAGGGCTCTGCACGGCCTAAAGGGCTCATACTGTAATTCCTATAAGCTCTGTGCACTGCAAAAAACCTCCTGCACAAACACACTGAGCTGCACAGAAAAGAGCAACAGATATTCTGAGGAAAATTCGATCTAAATAAAATCAACGCATCCACTCGTACTGAGGAGAACACTTTAACTCTACCAGTGAAGCAGCATTCACACCATGCCTCACGCTGTGATCATGCAATGGTCCAGATGGTTCCAACCTAGAGGAAAACTAAAGGCAGCCTGTACCACAGTATGGAGGTGGACTTTCAAAGACTCAAACTGTCTGATGGGTCCTCCATTTGCTGTATCTTCTCTGAAAACTTTGAAACAAAGAATGCAGTCAAAGCAAAACTACTCAACAATGAAGTTTACGACCCCTACGGGCCGCCACGCGGAAAGAACTCTTCCCTTGCCAAAACCAAGCCTATAAAGACCATCTGGGGACACAGGTCTAATGCAAGACTAGACCAGAGAGTCTGTGGGTCATCGCTCCTTCTCAGCATGGCCATCACCCTACAGACTTACAACCTGCGGGAGAAATTTACCCGAGCATACCCCTTCACCTGCCATCGACCTCTATAGATAAGCACGGCTATAAGAGAGCGGGGGAAATTATTCCCACTCCTGCATACTGTGCCTGGAAGATTGCTGTCACTGTCAAATTTCACTGAAATATAGTGATGTGATTGACAACAACTGTTCAACTGTTTTATTTAAGGGAAAACAATGTGTTTACTGGCCGGGTTTACCATTAAAACCAGGACAAATTACAGATGTATACTACACCCTTATCGAGGCTAATAGAATTCATGGTGACAATATTACCGGGATATGTATAGAAAAATACTCTGCTCAGTCAAATTCATCTTAATCTTGGTTTATTATGTGCTTTTTCATTTTTTAATCTTGATTATTTACATGATATTACCATGTTTATTATTTAAATTATATCATAATGTAATGTTTGTAATAAGACCAATATCATAATAATAAAGGTATATTGCAACATCCCAATTATTCAGAAGTTCTGAAACTAACCCTAATCCTAACAGAGCTTTTTCCACCTTTACCAACATTACTTGCTGGGATTAATGTTGTTTATATACATTTTGGGGTTCTTTTTGGACAAAATAAGAATTCACAATCAGAACATTTGGGAGGTTCACCGGCGGAAGCAGAAATAAGGACGTCACCTCATATCTATTCATTTCCTCCACTGCCATTTTGAATGACATTGATCTCCCAAATTCCTGCTAGCAACTGCCTGCTATCCTCTATCCCCCCAGCTCTCCCCGAAGGCTCAGTGCCAGTGCTGTGCTCCTCACAGAGGAGATGGTGAAAGACTTCTCTGGCAGCTAAACATCAGTCAAACGGCAAGGTCTGATTGACTCTCACCTGGAGCCCACACACAGTACACCACCCAGCTGACCCCACGGTGGAAGGGAACATTTCAATTTCTACAAGTCTACAATCACTGACCCTACACATTTTGCCATTCCCAAGAGAGAAACGTTTTCTGACTTAATGAAGCAAGGGGGGCTGAACCCAGCCATAAGAATGACCTCTGAAAAACTAGTTCCGTCTTGGCTTACAAACACACTCCTCCACCATCTGTTTGCATGTTGGTCAGTGTACGACTCAGAAATATCTGCACCTGCAGGGTCATTTTCATTCACTCTAAATTTCAAAACTTCCCTCCAAAACTGCTCCACATGTGTTTTGCAAAAAATCCTTTTGCACCACCGGCAGTTTTCAAACAGTCTTTGGGTATGTTGACTTTTAAAAGTTAGAAGGAACAAGAAAAATGAGGTTGACGTTGCATTTTAATCATTTAATGCTATGATTGATGAAGTTGTTGGATACATGAATTCATTGAATCTTTATAGCAGTTTGGTTATCATGTCTTGCTACTTACTAGTTGTATTGACCAGATACAGTTTTGATATGACATCAATTATTAATGTTAATAATTAAGAATAGCACAATATGGCCAAAATATTACGATATAGGTAAAGTATTTTCTCTTTTCATTAGCAACTTGAACATGAACAAGTTTAAAGTGACATGAAATATATATGAAAATGATAAATATTTACAGCTATAAACAAATATGCAGTTTGTTTTATATTCCTTGGCTACATTCTTGGATGCAGGCACTCGGGTGTTGTCAAAAACCAAAGTGCAATTTTAACATGATATTTGCTCAGTTATGAAAAGTTGAAAACTGATTATTTATTTAAAAGTAATGTTGTGTGTCTAAGTTGGCAAGCATCCTGTATTTATACAGTTATTTTACTGCCACAACATTGTATATTTATTTTATGAGCATTTCACAATTTTTTTGTAAAGCTAAATGATTTGCAATCCATATGTTTAGGTGCTGAAGGGGATAAAATAATGATAATAAGATCCATCAGATATTTAGAATAGTTACATAATAAGTAACTCAATATTTGTGTGTGGCTGCATACATGTTAGTATATTGTCATAATTTAAGGTAACTAAAAAGAATGAACGGTATAATTGTGTTGCAGAGCATGTGCGCCCATCCTGGTTACCATAGAGACAGACTATCTACTGACTGAGTCAACTCAGTGACTGACTGGGTGACACTTGCTCTTTAAGTTGGCCGCTCCACAGGTACATCGGAAATGACTCACGGGTAGAATCAACTGAGGTATAATTGCAAATTAATAATAATGTCAAAGAAAATGATTAGAGTGCGGCAGCAGCTTTTTGTTCCTCTGTAGAATCTGAACTGTCACCTGTTACTTGGTCACAGATCAAGCTCATGAATGTCTGTAAGATCTGCTCTTCCGAGCTGTGGTAGTGTGCGAAAAGATAACGGATGATTTAATGATTTTCTCAACTGAGGTGATTTGATGTATTGGCTGACTCTGCGCCTTTAGCTAGTATAACAGGTAAAACCCATTACCCTCCCACCAGCATGATTTATGATGGCTAGTATCACAGCTTAGGTCCCCTTACAGCTGATCTTCCAAAAGAATTTACTGCAAAATGTTACACTGCGCACTCCTAGAGACAGTAAACCCTGGCTGTTGGTAATGAGAAAGGAATAGCCTTTGGGTGGAAACACCTGCTAAGGGCAGGAGTCTTTAGCTATTCATGTGGGTTGCTCCACAAAGAATGCCATTAAATGCACTTAGATCAAGGAGGTTGCATTCAGACATTACGACATAAGAGGGAAATGTATAGACCTGCAACAGTTGACTCAACTTACTGCAGACTTATTATTTTCTAGATTAATCTATAAATTGTCAGAAAGTGCAAATCCAAGTTGATGCCTTTACATGTCTTGTTGTGGAACCAGAAGATAATCCGTTTGGTATGATAGAGAAATAAAAAAATATCCACATTAGACAGGCTGTAACCAGGATTTTCTGCCAAGTTAATGAAATATGTAGTAACTTTTCATTGAAATGCCCACTGATCAACTATTGTCTTATTCTTACAACTATAGATGTAGGTCCTATACTTTGTATTCCTTTTCAGGCTATGCATTTCATTATAACCTGATTCAGTATTCTCTGCTTTTGAATTATTTGTAACAGGTCTACGCTCTCAAGTTCAAATAACAGTTTGATCAGTCATGTCAGAAAACCCTGCTGGTGACCTTTCGATGAATTGTTTACCAAACAGATGGGCTTACATGACACAATGCATGTAATTGAACCATGTTCCTTTACTAGAGGAAAGGACATGTGTAAAGTTCACCATTGATCAACTATGGCAAGGGAAACAAAATTAGAAAAAGGGGGAAAATAGAGGAAATGGAACTGACAGCCATAGATAGATAGATAGATAGATAGATAGATAGATAGATAAGATATTTTTCATGAAAAATTGCAGAAAATGCTGGTTTCTGCCTTTCACATATGGATGTTTCTGAATTTCTCTGTTTTATATCATATTAAAATGATTATCTTTTGGTTTCACAACAGGACATTTAAAGGCATAATCTTGCACTTTTTTTAGATAGATAGAAGGCTACTTGTCCGTAAGAATTATTGGCAGAACTAACAATTAAGTCTGTCTTTTTCCAAACTCCCATCTCCCACGACTGCTTCATAATCGACCGACTTCCACCCTCACATTTATCAGTTTTATGTCTCATAGGCAGGCTGTCAGATACGGGGCACAATTGGGTAATTTAGGCCTGTTTTGATGCTCTGTTTTACCGGCAACTTAGCCTCCAGTGTGTGGGGGAACTTAGACCTGCATCAGTACGCGGAGCAGACTATTACAAATGTGCCTGGTGGTCGATGGAGTGGCGAGAAACAACACCCCAGACTCTCAGCGGATGTGGGTGGGTGGGGGGGAGAGATTACCCGTGCGGATGCGCTGATCAAAGATTTATTTTTTCACCCCCCACTTCAATTATATGCGCGAGTGTCTCTCCATACAGAAAATACGGGCGATGAGTTGCCTGTGCGTCAGAATGGAAAACAAAATACTCCAAATAAAGAAGATAATTAGTGATGTTTGCGAAGAAGGAATGATGCGAATGGATCAGATTGTTCAAGGAATCATGATATGAGATGCAATTAGACGATTGCCAGCACACATCATATTAAAGCGTGGGTGAAGTGCAATGATATATGATAATGACTTAATGCCATTACGCAAGGAGGCTAGAACTCTACTCGATTTATATGCGTTTTTAATCAAGCAGGGCATCGTTACTGTGGCTGACATATATCTGTCCATCAACCTGTAACACAGAGCTCGCCTGTGACAACTTGTTGTAGGAAAAAAACAGTCCGTTTGACATAATGGGCTGCGTTGTATTAGGAGTCTTTTCAGAAGGAAACTTCCCTGGTGCAAAAATTCTAGACAAAATCGACTAATCGCGACAACTTTCTCCGTTAATTCGCAGTCATTACCTGAGCCAGAGACTTCTCTATGAGCGCGTCGCCGATCTGTCCGCAGTCGATGTGTCCGCCGGTGATCCCAGAGGCAGGTGTCTCACCCTCAAACCTCCGTCACATCAGAATAACTTCAGCAGCATCAAAATCCACTCACAGCAATTTGCAACTTCCAAAAAAATCACCGGATTCCGTGTCGTCCCGGTAGAATTCTGTCCGTGGAAAATATTAGAAGTTATGAGCTGATCGATATATTTTTTAATATTAAGATAGAACTGGAAAACGCGGGGTCAATCATTCCACAGGGATAGCCCGCTGTGTGCTATTTCCCAATCCTTAAGAACTGATTCCTGCCAAGATACGCACCCGGTGGCGCATCGCTTTGCTCCAAGTTTCCAGAGCGCTTCCTCTGATGTGAGAACTAAGGACGCACTGGATGTCTGAACGACTGTTATTTGTATTTATTTTCTTGTGCAACGGAATAAGCTTACCAACCCTAAAACAAGAAGCCAATCTGAAGCATTTCCAGAGAGCAAGTGTGGAGATGCTGTGGCTCCGTTAGTTTCTCCCCTCTCTCCCTATCTCTCTTCCTACTCATCAGAGCGTGGGAGGAGGTGGGGCTCTCATCCACCGCAGCACACAGCAACTTCACACTCAACATCACATTATGCCCGGGCTGCCTACCACGAAATTGTGTGATTTCCAACAGTTTAAGATCTCATCAAACTGGGTCACCTCAAATGGGGCGAATTCAATGCAACCTTGGAGAATATTCCTGCAGTCTGTGTGCGTGTGTTACACTGCTGCTGCAAAAACCAACCCCTGCTACAAAACATACACAAAGGTGTCCAAACGTGATGTAACAGGTAGCACTGACAGTTTACTTGTTGATATGCATTCCATGTAGCAAAATGAATGGCCCTAAAATGGAAGCTGGTGCTGCCACTATTTATTCATTTGGCGCCACCCTCAGGCGGTTATAATAAGGAGGGGAAATAACACTGTTTAGCTGAGGGAATTAGGAGGGAAATTGAATGATAACATTGAAGTCTGAGGAAAGCACATTATAGGCCTATTGTTGCTTCTTCCTTTTTTCTGCGATTGGAGACAATGGAAATGCTGTTGGTGTACATTTGGATTAACTAACATCATCTGTTTAAAAATTGCAACAGTGTAATTACAAAAAAAACGAAAAAACAATGGTTTTGCTGTGGGCTATAAATCAGCATGGCTCAGCAGGGAGCAAACCCATCCCACGCCACAGTTATTCTCCTCCTTTCTTCCACAACGATGATGCCAGTGATCATAACTGCTTAAAACACAAGCAATGGACCAGGAGCAATGAGTCAAACGCGGGTTTTGTAACAAAGGAAAGCCTTGAGCAACGTCCCCTCCGGAGAAAACTTGATTTCCTATCTTCCCCAGCCATTCTGAGGCAAGAGTTTATCACAGTGTTTCCCGTCTGTGATCCTTTACTCCTCCCCCATCTCTCATTAGCTGCAAACACACAGCTGTTGGGTTACCTCTCCAGGGCTCCCATTAAGAGCTGCCACTCAGGCTTACAGTGTCCCTCAGCCAATCATATTAGAGCTCCCGCCCACGCACTGCCACTGCTATGTTGCTCTTCTGCAGCCATACTAATAACGATTTAAGTGTATTATTTTACAGGTGGCTCATGAGTCACTTAGAAAGAGAGAAGAACACAATGTGAGAGGAACAAAGTTGTATTAGTATATACAAATACTATACTAGAAAACTATTATTGGGTCAAAACCATAAAGCAAGTCAATGTTACAACAAATTATTTGCAGCAAGATCATTTTGATTTGTGTACATGTTATACGGCTTTTTGTTGCTCTAGAACAACATTTGACAATATGTTGCTTCTGAATACATTTGCTTTCATAGATTTTTGCTTATTAATATTATGTTAATGCATTAGTTGTTGAAATATAAGTCAAAGGTTTTGCTACAGGGGATTATGGATATATCTCTGTATCACTTCATAAATCTGAAAATATTGTTAGCAGGCCATTTTTGTCATGTTTGAGGAATAAACAACTCTGTTAATCAGGCTATAAATGATATATGAGCAATTATTTTTGAGAAAAACAGCCTTCCGAGATGTGTATTGTAAAATTCAATAGATTGTGCAAAACATTACAGAAAAATTGGGTAAAATAACTTGACTAATAAATACCAGGATTAAACTTTCCCAGTTTAGTTTGGCATTTTTCTAAAATGTGATGTTTACAAATGTCTAGAGTATATGGGATATTTGGAACATGTTATGGTTGCAAAATGCCCAAACTGTCAACATTGACCAGTGCATGAAAAAAATTAATGTTTTATGCCTTGAGTATCTCTTTTTAATCATGTCAATTAATACAAAATGAGAATTTAAAGCAGTTTTAACAACACTTATACTGACTTACAAGTATTGTCATCGGTTTTTGGCTCTCATAGAATGAATTCATTGAAATGTGTGCTTGTCCTAAACCAAACAGCACAGACAGTCTGGGTCAACGTTCAGTGTGTTGTCATTTAATCGTTTCATTTAATAGTTTATTTGAATAGGGACAATGCACAATAATGAACACTTAAGACAAATAATGCTTCAAGTGTAAACATGCCGGATTTGAGCTTTGAGCTCATTTCCATCCGTAGTCCCTGACATATAACATATAAGAACATGACATTTATAAACATAGCAACAAATAAATACATGATATGTAAAAAGAGCAAGAGCAGCATACACAAGCATTTACCACATGGCAGTACAATGTAGCAGCTACGTCCGTTTCTGATATGACTGAGTGAGCAGAAATACTGCTTCATTTGATCTCTTTATTCAGTTCAAAGATGACAGGCCTGTTTGATTCCCACTCACCTTTTCCTGTTGGCCATATTTGAATATGAGAGAGGTAAAATGAGGACAAAGCAAGAGTAACCGGTGCATCAGAACAAAGGTAGAAAATGCCCTCAAACCCTCCCAAATTCCCCAAAAGACTCTTCCCACCATGCGGTATCTATCCAGCACATTTTCATGGCCGGTGCCCTGAATATTATAGCCTCATATTTACAGATGTCCTTTTCCAAATTCCTAATTTAGTTGTATAATCACAGTCAAGAGCATCAATTAAGCAAGTTTTCTTAAATAAAAAATATGTTTGAGACCCATCTCTATTTTCATCAATTGACGCTGAAGACTTTAAAGCTGCCTGAATACTCTGTAGGCAGACAGGCTGTTTAATTCTAAGCTCATGGTTTGTTTACTGTTGCGGCAACACGGCTTGTGAATGTGATCTGTATACATTTACATCTATTCTCTTATCACATACCACACCTGGAGAAGGTCCCCCCCTCGACAAACAGACACACTTTCACAGGAGGCGTACAGACTCTACCACATACAGACGCGCACACATACAAATCAGAAATGGGGATACATCTAAGGAGAGGGAAATGAGGGAATATAGAAAAAGCTGCAGCAATATTCGACACTTTGAAGAGCAACTCCACACTGAATGGAAAATAGGAGAGATTCCTGCTGCTGCACTGCTCTCTATAGGATGAAATGTTAACAAAGGCTCTACTCAAAGGCTCGATTCACATCCCTGTCACTGATGTCACAGCTGGTGTTTCGCCTTTGACACACGGAAGTGGACGAAAAGAAGAAGCATTTATCCTTTTTATCTTTTTAATTGGATTTTTATGAAGTTCATTTATGTCTTTTTAGGTGTTTAATTGTCCTCATTTATGTAATTATTTATATATTTACTTATTTTGTTGAGTTGGTGACTACTATCTGGCATTTTGTACAAGCAATACAGAAGAATAGTATTGGATGTAGTCACCACGAGTCACCCATTGGTGTGTGGGCAACATTTTGAAAACCTCAATTTAGTTGTTGCTATTTTGTACAATTACTCAAGAGGTGAGTTTAGTATAACCAAATGAGCAAGACATTTTAAGCCAATTAAAATCTTACAATTTACTTTTTTGAACTGAAACCACACTGTGAATGGGTCACAGATCTAAAACGGTTCAAGGACATTGTCTTGTTTTAGTCTAAATTGGAAGATAATTTACAAAATGAACACAATGCTGTACTAAAGATGGCTTGAAACTAGCTATTGAGACCATTAACTCAATAATTAAATGTCTAAGAGGGTAATACATTAACTTAGAAGTATGGTCATTTTTTCTTAGACTTCTATACAATAAGACTTATTTTAGCAACTAGTAGAGAGCTAGCTATTAGAGAGGAGGGAAGTTTAAAGCACTCACATTTTGGCTTAACTTTTAGAAACTGTATTTTGTCGTCTGCTTTAAAATGCCAACTGTGACATCACGCGGTGTAGAAAGACATAAAACAGCATTTAAGCTCCGCAGTCATCAGTCAGTGCAGCAGCATCGTTCTGCCATATGTGATTTGGTCCGGATATAATCTTTAAACATCACCACAATAAAAAACAGAGTCTGCAATATATCATCCTCAGATATGAAGAGACACAGACACAGAGTTGAAGAACATGTTGCATTTAAATTTGGAGCACATCCACTTGTGGAGCAGGAGCTGTTACAGATGGGTCAAGCGAGGAAAAGACAGAGCAGTGATGCGAAAAGAAAACTTTATGATTCCTGAACTGTTCAGTCCCGAGGCAAAGCCAAGCCACGGAGTCAGCAGTTTGTGAAGAAGAGTTGGCACTGATGCTCTGTAAATGTGATCAGTGAATAGTTTTCATCACGACTGGAATTAGGTTTTCCATTTGCTTGTGAATCTATACATATTAAAAAGAATATCTAATCATTTCATATTTCTAAATGCAGGCATTGATTCTGTAATGGGAGTAGGGAGTTCTAAGTGTATATTAAAATGACAGTGTGGGAATACATCAAAGTAAACAACCGCCAATATAAAAACTAGTAAGATGCAAAAAAAGTGCTGAATTTATATTTTAAAATATAAGAAGTTTATACACATTTAATGAGACATTAAACTGTGGAGTAGTGATTTTACCCGATGGGGTACTTCAACAGTTGCCAGGGTGTACATGGAACGATATCGAACTCGTTTGAGTAAGTCGTAAAATACATTTTCACCAGAAAAAAATAAATCCACTTATTGAGTCTAACACCTGAACAGTTTGTTATGAAATTGAGAGAGTGTGAAAACTGGCTTGCAGGCAAGCAGCAA